CACTCTTTCTGCTGGTTTTGAAGAACCTCGGAAGAGTTGTAAGCAATGCTTTGGGTGAATGGGAAAGGGATCACATTTGTCAAGTAATGTATTTTATAATAAATGTATTACAAATATAGATAGTCAGGCTTTGTTACTTGCAGTTAAAGGGGTTTCTGTCTTGTGTTTTCTGTTAAAAACTACTTTTCCAAAAGGTGGAAATGCCCTCATAGTATTCATTTTTACACATCTACGTGGACAGTTATCTACAGCAAACAGAAATTCCCTGTGAAATAAAGAAGTCATCTGCTTTTGCTCATTTTTGAAGTGCTACATGCCATTCAAAAATGAAGAAATATGCTGGTTTCAATTCCAATGCTTTTCTTTTCATAATAGGTTTTATTATGTATTGTACTGCTTTTTCCACATTAAATTCTTGCTGGGAGAGGTCATACTTAAGACTAGGGGGTTTGCAGTGTTTTAAAAGAAACTTACCATGATTTAGTTCTTGTTTTATCTGTAATAATCTTTGTTTGTTTGTTTCTTAAGCCATTTCTTTTTCAGATTTCAGTTCAAAAGGAAAAAATAGACACAATTTAAAAAGATGAATACTGCTCTTTTAGTACACCATAGCAAGATTTTGTTAGTGCAGGACCAGTAAGCAGGGAAAATAGAGTCTGGAGCAATATGTACTGGAAGTTCAGTATGTCTGGCTGAAGAAAGCTGAAGTAAAAGATAGATCTAGAAGAGGAACTAATTTGTTGCCTGTCAAGCTTGCAACTTGAGCTTGCTCACTTACTTAACCCTCCCTAATGGGCACGTCTCTTCTAGTGTTTGACAACCAGAAATGGAGAACAAGTCGGTTGGTTTTGTTTGTTTGTTTGTTTGTTTTTTAAGAACTTTGGTTGGGGTGTTGCTAATTACAGACATGGTTATGTCCTCTTCTGGTGGTGACTATGTGAGATGATTGATAGTAAGAAAGAGGAGCAAAAGGAAAGAGATCAGAATTAGGACTGATCCATCTGAGAGATCTGTGGAGATTATCCTGAGAAAAACCATGCTATCGCAAGTATTACCCAGTCAAAGCACAAAAGGTGATGGATGTTGCAAGAGGCAGCTCCCAAGCTGCTGGAATTGTACGTCATCTCACAAATCAGAAATGGGCTTCTCAGCCATAAGCCCAGCTTTGTGCATGCATTTACAGCTTCCTCCTTGCTGGGTTTTCCGTGTGCCACCCAGCAGGCAGACAAGTGTCACGAGCCACCTGAAATGAGAGGCAGCCACGTTTGGGTACATTTTGAACCATGACAGGCTGCCTTTTGCACAGTGGCTGCAGATATTGCCCCCTGATGTGACCAGGGAGAAGGCAGGGGGGCAGAGCGGTGCGGGACCTGATGCCTCCAGCACTCGCTCCTGCTGCACTTGCTGCTTCTTGGCTTCCCCTGCAGCCCCAGCACCTAGGAACAGCTGCTCTCTTGGCTCAGTCCGTGAGAGCCTTGCAAAAAAAAAGCTTAGAGAAAGCTCTCCAACGTCGTTTGGCAACGGTCTCTGCCCTTGCCGACTCAAGTATGAAAGGTTGTGCTTAGGTCTGCACATAAATTACACCCCGGGCTGTTGAGCTGTGGTGCCTTGGAATGAGGAGGCTTTTCACAGCACAAACCAGCAGCATTAGGATGAGGTTTCAAATGAGGAAATTAAGCCAGGCAAAACTATACACGTACTCAATTGTATCAAGCCATCTGATAATCAGAACCTTTTTCTTTGCTTTAAAAAGAAGTATCTCTTATAACCACAGGAAGTCGTCAGGTTTTTCTTTTATCTTTTTGTTTTGTTTTGCTTCACATTTGAGCACAAAAACGATCTTTGAGAATCGTAAATGCCATCACAACGCTACACACTTGCACGTTTAGTTGTGAAGATCCCCTTACCATGTAGAGCATGTTGCTAGCTGGTGGATTCACTCCAGACCGGAATCTGTTATGGGTTTGCACACATTCCTCAATAAACTTTGGATCTCCAACGTCAGGCAATGTCGGTGGTTCATAGGAGCCAGCGGAACGACAGACGTGCAGTAAAGCCAGCATACAAGCAGAAAATCGGCTTGCCATGATTCTCAGCCTCTGGTCTTCCAGCTTTAAGAGCAGAGCGTTTCAGCTGTACGGGGTTGGTTTAGCTCAGGCAGCAGCGTTTTGCTTGGAAGGTTTGTGGGCTGGGCTTATCGCAGCCATGGTACTTGAATATGGCATTGGTCACAGGAAATGAGTCATATTTCAGGACCGTTTCTAAGAGAATAGGGAAATTAAGCTACAAATTCACATCAGAGCTGTGGCAGCTTTGTCTCTCTCTTTTTTATTCTTTCTCAGTTGTGGTGGGCAAGCTGCTTCTCTGCTGGCCTTTGGGCTTCTTTGGTTTTGTTTCTTTGGCCCCCACCATCCCATCCATAGCAATCACGATGGATTGCAGTAAAGTTTTGGATAAATTTTCTGCTTTTCATGAAAATAGCATTGCTGTTAAGGCTGTTACTCTGAGCCAAAATGCTGTGAGAAATAATTTATTTGAACTATGGCTTCTACTACAGTATGAACAGTCACTTTGGTTGTACTGGAGGGGTAAGTTTAGCTGAGAACTGCAATTTAAATATGCTGCAGTTATTGATGAGTTTTTCCTGTGATCACACACTTGTGCTATGTGTTCCTATCAATTTCTCCTTCCAGGCGTTAGCGAGTTGTAATTAATTCTCCACAACCCAAGCCCCCAGCAGAATTGGGTGCTATGAAGGTTGGTGCTGTCTCCTGCTGGGTGCCCAGCAGCCACGTTGGGTTTCATAGCCAGGATTTGGGAGCTGATGTCCCATGCATGTTGCTTGAGGTGCCCAACACCCCCTGCTCAGAGCCACCACCATCACTACCCTCTTCCTCACACTGCCCATAAATATCACCTGTCCACCAAGCTCAGGCCCTTTCCCACAGTCCCAGCCTGGACGTCTCTGTGGGAATGAGGTTGAGTTTCTTCCCACTCCAGATTTTGTTTTAGGAGTCTGCACCCTTTGAATACCTGGATGTAGGTCCCAGTTATCACTTCTGCACATGCAGTCCTGTAGGTGCTGGGGTTGGTGGCAAGGCCACATTCAGGTTGGTGGTCCAAGGGTCACACTGTGAGCCTGCAACAGCAGCCCCACGAGCACACATTAGGTCCTGTGGGTCACACACCTCCAGCTATTCATGAGGAGACTGCTTACAGGTGAGAAGGCCCTCTGAGGGAACCATGGATGAGAAACACCATGTTCACAACTCCCCTACAGACCACTTTTTAGAGCAGAATAATGTGGTGGTTGACTTCTGCCAGCAACCAAGCACCCACACAGCCGCTTGCTCACTTCCCCTTCCCCAGCAGGACGGGGGGGAGAAAACAGGAAGAAGAAATGAGAAAATTCATGGGTCAGGATAGAGGCAGCTTAATATGTGTGGAAAGAGGAGGGGGGACAAAACCAAACAAAACCCCCAAGTAATGCAAAGGCAATCACTCACCACCCCCAATGGCAGACTGATGCCCAGACAGTCTCTGAGCAATGGCCACCCTGGAAGCCAGACCCCCACTTTTCTTCTTCTTCTACCCCAGGTTTGGGGTTTTTTGCTGAACACAATGTTATATGGTATAGAATATCCCTTTGGTCAATTTGGGTCAGCTGTCCGACCTGTGTCGCCTCTCAACCACTTGCCTACCCCCCAACCTACTTACTGTTGCTACATATAAAAAATGGCAGCAAACAAGAACCGACAACTGCGAAATTAAATCTTCTTGCATTGTGACATTTTGCAGCATATGACAAAGGCCCAAACATTTGGGGCTCATTCTTATTCTGTGGGATGCCATGCTCCTTCAGAGCTGCAATGTGGCTCAGAATTTGAGTCACTGTGTTCTCAAAATGTTAGGACTAAGATAAAGGAGGAGAAACAGCTTTAAATATTGATAGCACAATTATGCATTGCTAATATCAGCCAGTATCTCTTAGTTTGAAAGACAGGTTTGTTTCCCGTACTAAAATGTGTATAGGAACAATAGGGGTTGAGGGCTAAATGTCTCTAAAAACAAATGGAATTCATCAATGGTTTGCCTTTTTTAATGAGGCTGATATCTTCCATTTCTGAACCAGAATTTGTCCTGGGACCATTTAATCTTCTCTCTCCTGTTTTTCCCTCCTTGCTCCTCCCCTTCCCCTGCCTGCAACCTCAGGATGGCTGTCATCTACTCTGCATTTCAGATTTTGTCACCATCTCACATCCTAAAATTCAGGTCTCCCCACTGACACCCCATCTTAATCCTTGATCTATCAACTTTCCCTGATATTCTTCTAGCTATGCAGGACAAAGCTTAACTCTGAGAGAACAACAGAACAGTACGAGTGATGATAGAGTAACTTTAATGGAGACTGATACACATAGGCTAAACATGGGAAAGGATAAGCTTTACTCCTTCTGTTCATAAAAAGTAATACATACAGTTAAATATCCATTATCTGGGGAAAACGATGTCTGGAATAATTGAAGGTTAATGGCAATGAGTTATTGCTTCTTTTGGATACAGTGTGCTGCTTTAGACATGTCTTTGTGATGTCCCAGGTTTCCAGGAGGCTCGTTAGCATAAATAGTAATATATAGTCTACGTGGTCCCTCTAGCAATCTACCCCTGAGCCAGAGCTAAGAGCCTTGTACTGGCATAGAAGCGTGTTGCAGCTACTGCCAATAAATTATACTAATTCTGTGCACAGCCACGTCTATCTTGCCTTGAGTGAAGAAGCCACCTTTTCTATGCTGGATAAACATCACAAGGATAACAGAGAGATGACCAAGTGTTTTTTTTTTAAATGTGTGCAATTCTCTGAGAGTAATACAGAGGTAGGATCACTATCGGTATCTTAATTGATCATTACTTATTAAAAAATGTGTGTGGAAACCGCTGTTGTAGTAAAAGAACAGCACCAGTACTCAGTACCAAAAACAGTGGCCTTAAAATTAACACAATAATACAGTATTGGTCACAAGAGGGACGCGGATGCTCAGCAGGTGGGATGTACGGCGGTGTGGGAGGCCTGGGGGGACGGGGCTGTGTATCCCAGTCCGGATACCAGTAGGTATAATCTATAAAACAGCGAAGAAACAGGTGTTCAGACCCATCAAACTTAGCCATACTCATAGGAGAGAAATTAAGAACAATTTGATACGTACTTATCAGCTTCTCACGTTCTGTGTTTTCTGTAAAGAGATCAGAAGAGGGAATAAATGTGAGTATCATTCAGTGGTGGTGCTTAATGTAAAGAAGTAAGGCATCGCTGGTGCCTGGCTGATCGCACTGACGATACCAGTCCGTGCCTAGAGCATCCTGTGAGGGGGGAGCAGGCCAACAAAGGCAGGTCCTCAGCTGGTGTGGGGCTGATATTTTTTATTGAATTGAAAGAGAAGCAGAAAAGAAACAGCTGTATTAGGAAGAATTTGTGTCATGGGGAGGAGGGAATAGCAAACAAAAACAAAACATGGAAATTATTTAAAATTGATACACAAACCAACAGACAGACAGACAAATATAACTACTAAATTTATCACAGAAGTACACCTTTACTAAGAGCTTTGATGCATTTGCAGGACTGCCTGTGTGCATCCAGTTGGAATTGCTCATGTGCTTATTTGCTCATTGCTCATACAGGAGAATATGGTAAAATGGGTTGTAGGTTCTAGCACTTAATTTTTAAAAGCTCTCTTCTTCCTCTCCCTCCCCTTGTCTTTGAGACGTTTCTACATTTCCTGTGATGTGTCAGTCTGAGACTTCAAGATGAGTCAGCCAGAACATCACAGAAGGAAATAAGAATACCAAATGCTCAATTATTTCTACAGCTGAAGCTATCTAGAGCCTGGCTAGTAGAGACCATCCCCATTAAAACTCGGTATAAAATTCATATTTGATTTAAGACAGTGTTGCATGTCCTTTGATCTCTGTTGATTTAAAACACTATTTCTGACTAATTTAGGACTAGGTGTAGTGACATAACAGTCCACAGCTGCAAACTGCTGTGGATAAACAAGCTCTCACGGCTGTATTTCAGAAAATTGCGGAAGTTAGAAATAAGTGTGCTTTTCAGTGTAGTCTTATTATTGGTTCGGAACTTAAGGTTTCTGGAAAACGTGAGAGAACATACTAAACAAGGAAGAAAGCAGAAGTTAAATATACCATTTCTGCTAGGAAAGAAGAATCAGATGGGGAATATTTGTTGGGGCTAAAGTTTTAGATTTGACTTCCTGATCTCACAAAAGGCAGAAAGTAGTCAAACTCATACTTCTCTTCATCAGAAACTCTGGCTTCTACCTCTGAGAGCCTCCAACAGCAAAGTATTTCAATGAATTCCTTCTCATACTATTCTTACCAGGGTTTAGTATTGCTGTGTGGTGGGCTACAGACCCGCTATGTACTAAGTGCAAATTGACTCACTGTTATATTTCCACTGATAATTATGCCACTTTTATTTCTATGCAGTTTTCTTAGTTGATCACCACAGAGTGATCTTGGTCTTACCGCAGAGCTTGTCTATGCATTTCTCATTACTGCATCCACTGCATGGTTGTCCTGCTTTATATGGTTTCCTTGGGTAATTCCCCCTGCAAAACAGAGGAACAGTGTTTTGTTAGCTCAGTTATTTGAAAAGCAATTTAAATACATGGTTTCATTACATTGTTAGAATAATTTATCATAAAAACCTACTGGGAGCCAGGGGCAATCCCTTTATCCAAAAATTGGTAATTGCAATTGTTTGAAATTACTTTTAGATCAGATTAAAGCTCCCACTGGCATGAAGAGCAGCTACCTGGTGACTCTCACCACTTGAAATTGATACTTCTCAGGCAATACTGAAGATTCAGTATAAGCATACTAGAATCTGCCTCTAGTCCCTCATTACCCACTTGTATTTAAAAAACAAATCTGCAAAACGTAAGTCTAGAAATTGCAAGGTACGAGATAAACTAGAGGGCTGCCTTCCTTTTATTTCTTCAATTAAATGTCTTGGTTGAAGTTTGGGTGGGGCCGTAGAGAGATATAATCTTTGTTAAGGGGAAAGCTTACACCTTCCCCACTTTTCCTGCAGAGACTGAAGTCAAAACAGATCTTATTCTACTATTCTTGGTTATGGTGAGTGCTCTCAGCTAGGATCTGCTCGCCTGCTTTTTTAGGAAGGGATTTTCTGCAGCTCCAACTATGTCCAGCAGCTTCTGCTCTCAATGGCTGCGGGAGGTTTCCCTGGGACCGGTGATATGTGGTCATGGCTTCTCCTGAAACTTGTTACGACTGCTCCCATCACTGTTGGCACCTGATAACCAGGTCAGTTACAGGATATTTAAAAAATAAAAAAATCTAAACCCCAAATGCCATAATTAACTTACGCTGGCCCATAGTTGCAGACAAAATGTGCTGCTCCGGAGACTCTTGGAAAATGTTCAACTGTATTGCAGAAGTGAACTGCGCAGCCAACTTTGTAACTCTCTGCCCAAACGACCTGAAGGGCAAAGGGAAATATGTAATGCACCTGCTCAAAGGCTGAAAAAGCAACAGCGTTAAGGGAGGAAGGAGAAGGAAGGATCTTGTGGAAGTTTAAAACAGCTGACACAGGAGCAACATCGACAACCCAAAGGGCAGCTTATGCAAACAACTGATTGATAGTCATTTTTGCATTTATTATCTGGCTCCCCTGGAAATATGAAATTGTCAGGGGATAACCCCTTTCCAACATTACTGAAAATAGGACTCAGACATCCCTGGGGCTCGGAGTATTTATTTCCAATCTCATGCAGCAATATACCAGTGGGTGAAAACCCTGCTGTAATTCCTGTTCCACAGCAGTCTGTTCCAAGCCTGTACTTGGATTTTCTGTGAAAGCATTACGTTATAAACCAGTGGGCATGTAAGACTCACCTGGGTGTAGTGACCACACATGCCAGAACATTTATTAGTGTGGAAATTATAGCTGCTGACTTCATTAAACCAGTCACTGAGAGCTGTGTCCACAGAGAAGATGGTGGCTGTGCCGGTCCAGATGTTTTCTCCCACAGGAGTAAAGGTGGGGTGGACCTTCCGTGGCACTTTAAGGTAGATATTGTGCTTAAACTTGCACTTCTTTGCCCACGCTTTGGCAGTCTTGGCTAAAGCAGCATCCCAGGACTGTAGAAAAGGAAGAAAACATAATGTGACTTAACTGAATTAAAACATTTTTAAACAGAAACTTGTAAGGATTCTTTTCCCCTTTCCTGCTTCCCATCCCTGCAATCAGTTGATTTCTGATATGACATTTCTATTCCCACAGGAATTTTTTTTTTCTTCTTTCTCCCTTAGATACTGCAGGACACGTAGTATCTACCCACTGTCCTGTGGTATCTGACTTGTTAAAATATTTAGAGCTGGCTTGCTGTCTTTAAGCTCCTACACCTGAGAGGAGGTAACTGGGTGAAACCTCCAGCCTTAGAGGGGCTTGAGGGACTTTATGCCTAGGAGCTGTTGGCTGTCCAGGGATTTGCACTTTGCAATTATGACTAGACCAGATAGGAATTCTGTTCTGCTGGCCAGGATGGAGAAGCAAAGAGTCACAGCTGCTCCCTTCCCCAGCCCCTTCTGCGTCTTTGCTCTTCTCCCTCCTCAGCGTGTGGCCAAAGCAAGTAAAAGGCTCACTCACCTCTGCTGGGCTGGTGAGGAACCGTTCCCATCCTGAGTGGCACAAGTGATAATTTGAGAAACTGGTCTGTGAGATTTGCAGAAAGATTTTATGCCACTGAATGACCAGGCAATAAAATGGCAGGTAAAATTCAGTACAGAGAAATGTATGTTAAGGTATGTGAGGGAAAAAAAAAAATTGACTTTGTGTTCATAATGACAGGTTGGAGATGGCTGTTACCGCTTGTAAATCAATGTTTAGTAGTAGTCTAAAAAGCAAATAAAGTGTTAGGAATTTCTTGAGAAGGAGTGGAGAATAAAACCATATATATAATTACACCACTGTGGAAGTCCTGTTAAATGCAGTGTGCAGCACCCCACCTTAAGAAGGGGAGACTAGAACTGGAAAGGGCAAGGAGAACATGGAAGAGGATGATCATCCTCAAATATCAAGGGCTTTCATAAAGCAGCAGAGAGTGCTCTGCAGCTTTGATCAGAGACAGCTGGACATCTTCTGTGAAGTAGGTAAATAAGTAATAATTGCTCCTTCCGATACAGAGACCAGAGAATCAAATGAAGCTAGGAATTAACAAATCAAATGCAAAGAGATACTTTCACATGACTTATAGTTGGGCTGTGCAGCTCTTGCCACATGGTGCTAGGGATGATACAAACTTGCATGAGCTCAAGACTGAAAAAAAATCATGCAAGAAAAATCCATCAAGAGCTTTTAAACACAATGCAACACTTATGATTCAAGAGGTTTCTCTATATTTGTCCTGCTCTTATTCCAGGCTTGCTGGATCTTTGATCTGAGCTGCTAAGTTTGCTTTGGGACCTGGCATTTTAAATTAAACATTGGTGGTTTTTTTTTAAATGGCAAAGAATTAAAATCATGAGTAGTCTGAATTTTGCCCCTTTAATATGAACTTCCTTTCATAGAAATGATTCAGGTAGTGCATGCAGTTAGGCATTTAACTTCCTTTCCAGTCATACGATGCTGCTGGAGGGCTCAGAGTAATGACATAAGCTGACTGGGGCTATCTCCCCCAGCTATCTACCTATCTATCTATCTATTGATCAATCTATCTATCTATCTGTCTATCTACCTTTTTCCTTATGTATTCCACCGAGCAAGCTGAGACCTACCCATGGCCTGTTCTGATATCCATTGTATTTATGGGAAGCTCTGCTTTCCAGCCCAGATATTAGCATCCCTGCTACAGCAAAAGAAGATCAGGTATCTAAATGGCTGTCCTGGCAAATCCCTTTCTTCAACACATGTTCTAGATTGGAAGAAACAAGGGGAGATGATAGATTTTCAACAAATCATGTTGTGCAGATTGCCTATTCAGGAACTTTTTCATACCAAACAGCTTCCCTGTATGAAACCTGGACTAACATAAAATAGATTACTATCTCTCTTAGAAAGAGGTAAATGAAATAATGCTGAGAACTGAACACTATTTTCTGCAATACAGCCTTTTGCTCTGGCTGAAGTTCAGAGTAGCAATCTGTCCCTAAACAAGGAACTCCCAATTATTAAAACTGAACAACACTGTAAAAATTAATGTCTTTTCTATTTCCTGTGAACTAACATATATAGTACAGAAATCATTGGCAGAAAGGGAAAGAAAAGCACAAAGCAAATGAATAATAAGATGGGCTAAATCAGCAGCACAATCTATATTAATTTTCAACCCGATCACGACCGCCTCCTTACCATGCGAAACATGTTGCTGGCTGGTGGATTCACTTTGGATCGAAACTTGTTGTGAGCTCTTACATAGTCTTCAATGAAAGCTGCATCTTCTGTGTCAGGCAAGGGATATTGTGGGTAAGCGTGACAGCAGGCGAAGAGATCCAGTAAGAACAACTCAGCAAAGAAAAAGGTGATTTTCATAATTCTTCAATGCTTTCAGTATTTTTTTTTAAGTTTTTAAAAGAAAAATCTTTTAGGTGGAGATAATACTGGCAAGTATCTCTTCAGAGATGTTCCTCTGGGTGTGAAAGCACTTGAAATTGTCAAAGAAACAGGAAATGAAATTGCTTCAGAAGGTACAGCTCTATCTGACATCATAGCTGGCTGTCAAAGGGTAAACTGTGAAACAGGCATCTGCCATGCATATTAGCAAGGAGCAACACTCCAGGTATACTTCTGCTTTTTCTTTGAGTGTGCTGCATTCTGGTTGACTGCCAAACCATTCTGTGATCATAGATCTTATCTGAAGAGATACTGCAGAACAGCTTTCCTAAAACCTGTGCCAGCCATAAAAATCGTAGCTTTGACAAAATAAAAATCCTCTGTTCAGCTGATTTTCCTACATGTCGTGGTTTTGCCCCAGCCAGCAGCTAAGCACCATGTAGACGCTCACTCACTCCCCCCAGCAGGATGGGGGACAGAATCGGAGGGTTAAAAGTGAGAGAACACGTGGGTTGAGATAAAACCATTTTACTAAGAAGTAGAAGCTGCGCATGCAAGAAAAGCAAAATGAGGAATTCATTTACCGCTTCCTGTCAGTGGCTTGGTGCAGAACAGACCTTCTGACCTGCTTTGGTGCGTAACGAAAGTACGAACTGGAAATCCCAAGCTTGAGTATGTGTTGATTCTCTCCTTCCTTAGCCATTTGCCATTATCTGATAGCCTGATATCACTGGAGGAGCTTCCTGTGCTCCTGGAAAGAGGGCGGCTATCGGGTTAGCACTCCTGGTGTAACATTTCAAGTCTGATCACTTCTTGGGAAGGTGAGATGAGCTGTGTTGGAATTTGTGTTGTCTCACCAACTGCTCTACAAGCTGGTTGAATTTTTTCAAACCTAAACCAAATTGTATAAACATGCAAGAGCATAAGAACAACCCATATGTCTTAAGAGCTAAGGCCTTGAAACTCAGATTTAGGTAGGTTTACAGAGAAAATATGTTGTAGATTGAAAACAACATTCATGGGTTTGATTCCCTGCTCAGTTTTGCAGGTCAGGCCTCATCCTGCTAAACACGCGTGGGAATTATCATTCTGGTGTTGCCTTCTCTGTTTGTGTGATGGCTTTTCCCCCTTAAATAACACACTTGATTTGCTTCAGAGTCTTGTAACAATCTGTACACCTAATTCAGATAGGCTGAAGGAGCTGTAGCCCTCCAGCACAGTCACAGCTATACCTATGTAGGCTATTAACAGGAGGCATATAATTAAATATTTCTCTGTGTACAGATGTCTGCTCATTTCTAACTCTCCACACCCTTCTCCAAGCCCTGCCATGATTTCTTGACCAATTTCAGGAAGGTAGGGGCAACTGTAGGGGGCAACAAAGTGGAATAGGGACCTGCTGGTGTTTGGGAAAGAAACAAAAAGGTGGCCCACAATTATTCTCGTTGGACAGGCTTAACACAGCCCTTACCAATAAACAGCTCTCAGAGGCACAAGAGACCTAGACAGAGAGGGAACTGAACAAGTATTATCTTTTTTTCTTTTTTTTTTTTTTTTTAAATAATGATTGCCTGTGCTTTGAAACTCTCCCATTAAGATCACCATTTTTTTCTCTAATCAGTTACTTCTGTTTAAAGGAGACCAAGCTGAAGCAGTCAGTGAGAGGAGACCAGCCACTTTCCCTTTCTCTATGGGCACAAGAAGTTGGGTGCAAGACACTTTTGGTCCTGTCATGCCCTTGATGAAAAGATGCATGAGGCACTACCAGTCATCTCAAACCCTCACCTCCCTTGGCAAGTACAGGGAAGTAGGAGGTGAGGCACCCACCCTGACACAACCCCAGCCCAAGGCGGTAGTCACACCTGCAGCCCAGCCATTGGCTTTTAGCTCTAATTTCTTTACCTGTTCCTCTACCAGAGGTTGGCTGTGGCTCCATCTGCCTCCAGAACATGTATGCAATGGGCATGACCTCACCTACGTTTGCTAGATCCACCTGCTAACTCTGCCTCCTGCTGTGCCACCAACGGTGCCAAGGTTGCTTGTCTAGCAGATGTAGTTTCTGTTCTCTTCCACTCTCATGGTCTATCCCAGGAACTGTGGGTGGGCATTGGCAAAGGTGATAAGGCCCTCAGCTGTGGTGGAACATTTTAAAATGTAGGGGAGGATGGCCTTGTGCTGGCATTGGTCACTGCTGGGATGGTGAAGGGGATCTTGGGAGGGAGGTTTCATCCTGTGGCTGCCATTACCTTCTGTCCTACCAGAGCATAGAGGTTGGTCTCTCCTGTCAGCTGCTTGCTTCTGGGCTACAAAGACCCTCTGATCCACCACGTGCACTCCTGAAGTCCACAAGGTACCATCCATGTGCCACTGGCAGTATGGTATGTGTGTGGAACACCAGGTAATGGAGAGATCCTTTAATCAAACTATGACAGGTTAGATCATTATGGTGAATGGCCCTCTCCTCTGCTTCTAAACTGAACATAGAAGGCCTGTCCACTGCTTTGTTCCTTCCAAAGTCATCTTGCCTCTTTTCTAAACCAGGACCAACTGAGTTCAGTTTACAGCTGAATATTACCTTGAAACTAGAAAGCAAGTATGTTTCTTTTTCTTTTCTAATAATGCCCATGCAATCTATGAGAATCTAAAGCCTTTGGTCTGCTAATATAGAACCAGGATTATATTACAACTACATGCAATTTGCACAGAAATTATCATCACACTAAAACCTGCACCATTAATTTAGCAATGCAGCGATCTTGCAGTTATATATATGCATGCAGTTGAAATTCTGTGCTTGGAAACTGAACTGAGATCTTTATGAAGCTGGAAATTTTGAGATAGTCCAGGTTATAAGATGCTTTCCTGCAGAGATGACTCTGGCTCCATCTAGTGATTCTGCCTATAATTAAAGCAGAAGTCCAGCCTGCCCTCAAGCATCTATAGTGGATGTTTCCACAAAGTTATAATCGTTTGCCAGCATTAATCAGTGGAATGATGAAAATTAAGCTTTGGGATTTAGATGTCACATTGTATTTGTCTGGACAATACAAGCATTGCCTGTCCCTGCAGAGATTTCAAGTGAAATTCAGCACGACCTGGGTATGGGCCAGAAGCTGTACAGCCCAGTGGTTTTGAAAAAATCCCCATTTTTACATCTCCCTTTCTCACTTCCCACCTGTTTTCCATTTAAGATGTCTGGAAACATAAGACCTAAGAAACACAATTTTCTTAGTTTTCCCCTCATGGACGATTCCGTCAGAGGACTAACAGCTGGTGGATTACAGACCGTTACAGAAATCCAAGCTGCCTTGGCATCTGTAAAATTAATTTTGTCCTCAAATCATCTACTTCTTCAGACTACTGTTGTATTGGGGAGAAAATGTGTTCGTCCTTGACTTACTAGGTTCAGCTGAACAAACAGGGGTGGATCTGCTGGGTTTTCTTGTTCTGTCCACAGGATTAGGTAGCTGCAAGATTACCTGGCCTTCCAGACCTGGGAATAAACTAATATTCTGACATGCATTGCTACTTCTATTACACAATTTCACCTCAGGGCAGAAAACAGATGAATTCAAAGGATGGTGGTGGTACCAGATTTCCACAAGAATTATTTTGTAATAATGTATTTTGTGATTGTTCATTACAATTTTAAAAATTCTTCAATTATTTTGTAATAATGAGACTGTAAACAGTCTCACAATCAACAGGGGAGGCCATCACTCTGTGGTTGGACTGCAGGTAGTTTTACTGTAGTTTTGGTTAGGGGAACTTCTGCAGTGCTGCTTACTGCAACTATCCCCCTTGGCCTGCCTGCGCAGTATTGCGCTGCACCGCTTGCTGCGTTCTCCGAACAAAGCGCTGGGACCTCACGCAGACCAAATTACAAGCGGTTGGCAGGTGTTCTCCTCCTGTGGTGCCTACCTCCTGCCCGTCAGCACGGCCCCTCATCACATCTGCTTTGCCCCTCAAGGACAGCCGGTTTCACTCCCTCCTCTCAACCAAAGGGTAAAGGAAGTGTCAAACTCTTACCGAAGGCTGTCTGCTCCCGTTGGTGACACCTCTGCTAAAGACTCTGAGGGGGAGGTGGATAGGCAGTGGTAACACTGCACAAGACAGCCATCTCTTCAACCATATAAACACCTGAAGGGAAGGTGTATGTAAGACAGAGCCAGGCTGTTTTCAGTGGTGCCCAGTGCCAGGACCAGAGGCCCTGGGCACAAATTGAAACACAGGAGGTTCCCTCTGAACATCAGCAAACACGTTTTACTGTGAGGGTGACCGAGCACTGGCACAGGTTGCCCAGGGAGGTTGTGGAGTCTCCATCCTTGGAGATATTCGGAAGCTGTCTGGAGACAGTCCTGCGCAACCAGGTCTAGGTGGCCCTGCTTGAGCAGGGGTTAGACCAGATGACATCCAGAGGTTCCTTCCAACCTCAACCATTTTGTGATTCCTTGATGGAGCCAAAGCTTCAGCAGGTTGTGCAGGACAAAGGATTCAGCATGATCTCAACAGCATAGATACAGAATAACAACACTGTTACAGAGTAGGAGTATTTGCCTAGCTGCAGAGGATGTCTGGTTATCTTCCTTGCCCTTCATATGTGATTTCTATTTCTTTAACTTAAACTACTATCATTTGTCACCTTTGTTTCTAAATTCAAGTAATTTGAAAAATGAGGCAGCTTTTCTGCTGTCCATCCTGATCATGTTTTCACAGGATAATGCCAGACATGGTTGGTGCATGGTAGCAGCATGATGGAGTGAAAGTTCAAGAACCGCTACAAACTATTAGAGTATTATGGAATAATACTCAGGAATCTCCTGAGAGAAGATAAAGCAAGCCATTACAGTCCACATCCATGCCAGGATCCCAAAAGGGATCTTGGAATGAATGGTCTTCTCAGCCGTTCCTAGATTTCCTCCCAAAGACACCAAATTGGGGAATGGGGCAAACTCTATGTATTTTGTGTGGACACCACA